TCCGGAAACTGATCCTGGAAACTGATCCAGGAACTGGTCCGGAAACTGATCCAGGAACTGGTCCGGAAACTGATCAGGGGTGCCTGTAAATGATCCAGGAACTGTTCCACTAACTGATGCAAGGCACTGATCAAGGAAGGCACTGATAAGGTAACTGATCCAGGTGTTAAAAAAGCAAACGAGTCCTGGAACTGGTCCAGAAACTGTTCCAGGAACTGCTCCTGAAACTGATCTAGGAACTGGTCCTGCTACTGATCCAGGGACCCAAAACAGATCCGAGGACTGACCTGCGTACTGTGCCTCGGAACTGATCAAACCAATGCACGGCGCTGCTCAACGAACCCATCCCAGCGCAGTATACCCAGGTCCTGAAAGCGGTCCAGCCTCCAGGGACCTAAGCCTATCCACGAGAAACCTATCCACTAGAAACCTATCCACAAGTTCAACAAGGAAACGAACCGATCCAGAAACGACCAAAGAGCCAATGCAGGGAAAAAGGATCGACTAACTACTACAAGGTACCGATCCGGTAACTGATCTTGGAACTGACCATGGAGCTGATTTTGGGACCAATTTTGGAACCGATTTTGGGACCGATCTTGACCTCTCTTTGTCTGATGACCACGGAACCCCAGATCAATGGAAGCATTCCTGGCTTGCATCTCCTGGCTATCATGACCTGTATATCACGTCCGGGAATAACACAGACGGATTTGACTGCAATTATGGCTGGATCGTGTCCTACAAGTTTGGGTGTGTGTATGCCCGCAGTGATCGGGATGAACCCAAAGTACACTCTTTCCCTCTTCTTCCTCCCCTGCCCAAGAGAACAGGTCCTGTGAGGGGAATATCACCACAAATAAGAGCTAAATGCATCCAGCTACGTGGTGTTGATGACATGGCTTATACCTTGTAAACAGAGCGACTCATGCTCGGCGCTCTCGCCAGGAGTTCCGTTATTTTCATACCCCCTCTCGGAGCGTACACACTAGTTAATCATACAAATCGTACTACTAGGTTCTCACAGATTTCCAGGTAACAAATTCTCTCTCTCTCTCTCTCTCTCTCTCTCTCTCTCTCTCTCTCTCTCTCTCTCTCTCTCTCTCTCTCTCTCTTGCGCGCGCGCCCCCCCCCCCCCCCCCCCCCCCCCCCCCCCCCCCCCCCCCCCCCCCCCCCCCCCCTCCCCCCCCCGACCTCTTTGCTTTCAGTTTTCTGAGGAAGCAGCAAGCAAGCATGATATGCGTCCACACTTCACCGCGTGCACTTTGCATCGGATTCCCCTGCTATTATGATGAATGGACGTCGAATAAGCAGGGACTGAAGCAGAGCGGTGCCTTTACGAGTTCTTCTGGAAGGCTGAAGTATCAACGGCCTGCTTTCAACAGAGTTCGAACTCAGGGTCTGTGTTTCAAAAGTTCAGCGGCGCCTCGAGTCTTGAACCGCCTTGGCAGTGCCTTATTTCATCTGTCTGTTGCGCTTCCCCCCTCAGCAGTCGGGCACGGTAGCCACCATATGGACAAAGGCTTCATCGGCACCACAGACTTGTCGGATCCCCCTAAGTAGATAATCCCTCCAAACCATCTGCTTCCGACGGGGTCTGTACTTCAACAGTTCAGTTGGTAATCCCTCCGAACCAAGTCTGACTGCCAGGGCGAGTGGGGGTGTCTGAGCCATCGATCATCATTGATCGATCGGCTGGCGGCTGCGCGATCTGCTGCCGAATTAGGCTCATGGTTGTCCTTCGGCTTTCTCGACAAAAAAATGTGCGGTTCGGATCCATTCATCCAACTAAAGGATGGCTAGCAGAGCCGGTAGACCGCTCTTTTGATCTCCAGGCATGCAATTGCGATACAAAAGAGCTGAGCTGAGCTGGTCAGAAAATGCACGGTTCCAATCTAAGCATCCAAATAACAAGGATGGCTGGCTAGCAGAGCTGGTAGACCTCAAGCATGCGATACAAAGGAGGTGAGCTGGTCAGAAAATGTACGGTTCCGATCTAATCATCCAAATAAAAAGGATGGCTACCTGAAGATTGGTTAACTTCATTCTTGTTGTTCTTACATCTCACAGGAGGGGAAGCAGACAACATTTCAAGGGTCAGGGAAATAAATAAAAGCATAAGGTGTGAGGGGCGCCTCTACAGAATAAGCTGTCAAGCGCAGGACCGACAACACGAGTACTCACTGGCAGAGCTTCTTCGCAATGTAATCAATCAATCAATTGCAATGAAGCAGCGAGATTGAGAGGCAGCGCTACAGAATAAGCCGTCAACTGCTGGACCGACAATGCAAGTGCTCGTCTAACTCGTAAATGAAATCAATTGCAAGATTCTCTGAATGGCAATGAATTTGATGATCGTATATATATATTAGATAATACGAATCAATGAAAAGTTCGTCAAAACTCGTCCAGCGCTTGGCATCTATCAACTGACCTCCCTCTGTGTTATCGTTGTCGTCGAGAAAGAAAGAAGGTTGTTATCGAACGTCCGCTGGCCATGGGATGGTCTTGACGACAACAACAATGCTCGCCTCGGTTCACCAGGTTGGGTGTCTGCAGCACAGTGCACAGGATCGTCAAAGTAACAGAAGAATCCAACACACACCTTTTCCCTCCTCCAAATTCTGGCCTCTTCATTGGAACAGGTAATGATGGCCGAGCCTTTCCAAACTAAGTCACAGAAAGCTAACTCCCCATTATGCTTATCGACGTCGAAAATGCGTCGGTAACTGCCCATGCTTATCGAGATCGAAAATGCATCAGCCCTTAGTAAACAGCGCACAAATAAACAAATGAATCAACATTGAATGAAGATAACAATCAGCAAAGATCCCTCCCTGCCTCTCTCTCCCTCTCTCTCGCTCGATCGATCGATCGATCGCGCGCGCGCACGCACGTGCGCTATGTTCTAGATGCTTGACCTAGAGGATCTACTCTCTCGATCAAACTCTTGACTTGGTCTGTGGTCAAAGGCCAAGAAGGGGCTGACAACCGTGTCTTCAGCCTCGCCCTGTTGACCCCACCTTGGTCGTCAAACTGATTGCGGCCACCAAGTCCATCCAGCTCAACACTTTGCCATGGCCGTGCTTTGCCCAAGTCGGCCGCTGTTTGGGGGTGAGTCTGAACAGTTCTCAACATACCTGCTGCAGCCTGATGGAGGCTTGTTTGCCGCCTTCGGTCGCGTTCTTTGCAGACATTCTTGCCTCGTCTTCTCCCATTTGCACATCCTCCTCGTCCTTCATTGCTTGCCACGGCAGAGCCGGTGGCTAATTCTTGCTGTTGAGCCCTGGAAGCGCTCCGTGGGGAGGGGCAAGGGCAGGCCATCGACAACCTCCAGCACGCCTCTGGGTAGCCCTTGTCAGTTGAACCCGATCCTTGCCTGCTGTGACGGCGAGTGGTATCTTCTGAAGCTTCACCACCTTCTGCTTCCCGGTTGGCTTTCCCTCCGACTCTACATCCTCCACAGAAATCGGTGCTGTTACCGCATTCTGTACATCTGCCACTCAAATCTGAGTTGGCAGTTTGTCGGTATCCCTGCAGCGGCTGTAATCGGGGCGGGGGGGTTCTAGCAACCAGCTCATCTCCTCCAATTAGCTCCTGCACCGTCGGAAACTCCTCGAGAGAGAGGTGCCTGCTCGACACCCTTCTGTTTGCCCGCTGCATCTTATACCCCAGAACGTCTCCAGTGCTTGACGTCCGCTGGAAGTTCCGCTGATGATTGTTCTTCAGCTCGCAAGGTAGTAGCTGGTGCTGCTGCTGCTGCTGCTGGTGCTGCTGCTGCTGCTGCTGCTGCTGCTGCTGCTGTTCTTGCCGTGCCCTGGGTGTATGTGGCAGGGGCTGATGAGGCAATGACAGTGGTTCCTGGAAGCCCATACCGTCTCGCACTCCAAAGCTTGCACTGCGCAGCTCTCCTGGAGATGGCAGAAGACCTGAAATATGACGAGAACAATCCGACGCCTCCGGAAGATGTCCAGCTGCTGCTGCAGGACTTTTGCCGCCCCGTGGCGTGCATGACCCCAGATATTTATTGTCCCTCACACTTTGGGCTCCTTCTTCAGAAAGCCTGCCATAGCTAGGGATGACTCTAAGCCCCGATATCTTCCCCGCCATCGCTCTTTTGTTATTGCTTGTCGGCGATCTCCCCTCTGCAGGACCTGTGGCATTGTTATAGCCTGTTGCACGTCTCCCTCCTCCGTGCGCTCCAACCTCCTTGACAATAGCTTTTTTAGGATTACCAGCTGCCGTATTCGTGTTTGTATCCTTCCCTGACCCTCGGTCATCTGCCTGTTGCGGCACCACAATCCCTCCTGTTCCGTCATCTCCTTCGGCTTCTTCGTTAACTGAACGTTCGTGGAACAATTCCATGGTCCCATTGCATTCAATGATGGGATTCCCAATTCCGCCCCTGTCCATCGACGTCCCTCTTGGGGACAGCTTGCTACCGGCAGCTCCTGCCTGCTTTGTCTCTATCAGATCTCGCAAGGAATGGAATCGCGAGAGCTGAAACTCCAGCTGTACTAGCCTCTTCTTCTTGGCTGCTAATTCACAGCGCAGCTGATTGTTCGACAAGTCGTTCTCCGCACACGCCGCCTTCAACTTTGCTTGCACGGACTCGCTCGCATTCAGTCTGAGATTTAGATCTTTGCACTGCATGATCCAATCCGCCAAATGGCTTATGAGCTCCTCCCTTTTCTGTTCAGTGCTTTTCAGCTGCAGCAACAGATCATCGTGCGATGACCGCATCTGACTGAGCTTTCCCAAAAGATCCCTGTTCTGAGCCTCGCTGGCGGCATAATTCATCTGCATTTCATTCATCGCCTCTCGGTTCTTTCCCAACTCCGTCGCCAACTCGCTGCATTGAATCTCACAGGACCTAAGCTTGCTCTCAAGACATAAATTCACATTCTGTTGGTGCAGCAGCTGAGACCGCAAAGTCTCGCATTCCTCCCGCAGCAGCGGACAGTTATTCACACAACCACCAGCAGATCTCTGTTCTGCTCCACCATTTCCCATATTCTGCAGGAAACAAAAAAGGAACAACGCACGAGAGAGAGAGAGAGAGAGAGAGAGAGAGAGAGAGAGAGAGAGAGAGAGAGAGAGAGAGAGAGAAGCACTCAGTCCATGCAGGGCAAAACCAGCCCTGCCAAATCCCACCCAAACAGAGTGCGACGTGTTAGGCCAAAGTAAAAATGACACCTTTTTTTTTGTGTGTGCAGAGGTCTCTGAAGACAATAATGATATATCAGTCGGACAGAAGGGGTGGGCGGTGGGGAAACGGGAAAAAAAGAACGATTCCCATCTCAGCTATTCATCATAATCCTCAAATTAAGTAATGCAACAATGTAAAATTATAAACTGTAATCTCGAATTCTCAAAGGTACCATCTCCAGACTCTCCACCATCGCCGCCTCATCTCCGAGTTCGGAGTGTGAGCAAAGAAGACCCTTATTGAGGAAACAAACTCCCGTCTTCCCCCCCGAACACCATGCACCCACATTTTGACACCATGTACTGAGGAAGGATAGAGCTTGTATATATTAATTATCAGGGTGTGTTCTGTTCGAGGGGAAGAAGGTAATAGGAAAACCAGCTTTTATATAGACTAATACTGAGGGTGTGTTCCGTTTGTGCGCAAGAAAGTAGTAGGAAAATCCCCTAGACATGAAGTGAATCTCTCAATCGCCTCTCAGGTTTACTCATGTTATTAAGACTTGACTTTTTTTCTGTGATTTTCGTCATTGTTTACGTATGAGCTATTGCTGTTCTATTTTCATTTGTTGTTATCACGCGAAATATAAAGACAGCAGAAATTCATTGAAAAACGTACTAAGTTATTTATTTCAAATTATTTGCCTGTACGCGGTCCTATTCATTGAAAACATACTCGTACTTAAGTTATTTATTTGCCTGCAGGTGGTACTATTCGTACTCGGCTTTTTTCTGGAAAGTTTCCTAGTTCTTGATGATGATCGCGTTCTTTGAATATCACCAACATAATTGAGTGCAACCTGCATTACCAGAGGGGCCGGGAACCACTTGCGCCCCGGGCCAAAAATGAAAAAAGTGTACACACTACACATACTACACATATATTTTGTATGTTTAATTTGGCAAAGAATTTCGAAGTGACCCTGAGGCAAAAGTTGTCCATTTTATTTTTCTGCACAACTTCGATGTGACCTTTTCGTCTTTTTACGGATTTTTTTCTTCTCTTTGCAGGGACCTTCTGCTGCCCTTGCCTGGCCGCAAAGTTGACCCGGGCTTGCCCGGTCGGTATCACACAATACAACTGTATTTTCAGTATACAGTTGATCGCACTTGATGCTTATGGGAAAGCAACACTGTTCAAGGCACAGGGCAGGCGTCTCAATACTTGGCCCACAATTCACATTCGGACCATTTCGCGATTCATCCGTGTCATCCTTGAGCAGGGACCATGCTAATCTTCTGTGTATAGTTTCTGTTTTAACTTTTAACGGATGTCCCGAAGGACTTTCGTCACAAGTTCATCGTATCGGTTCCATGCCTTTTTTATTTCTACATAAACCATGTCGGTTTCTTCGTTTTCCTTTTTTCCTTTTTTTTTACCAGAGATCCTGAACTTCGTCCAAAGACTAATATTTCAAACAATTTGTCAGTGTGTGTGTGTGTGTGCCTCGTCGGTGCACAGGCACAAGTCAAAACTTATCTGAAGATAAAAATTTGGACAATTTGCGGAATTGTGTGTCTGAACCATACTTGCAAGCAGACGGACCGGACAAGCGTCCGGTCCGGTCCGCTTTGCCGCGTGTGGCACCCTTCCCCCGGACCGGACCGGACAGGGCCATTTTTTTTTTTTTGGGGGGGGGGTGGAGCGTAACTGGTCGTCGGGCGCACATTCGTGCGCCACGCGGGTCCGGTCCGGCGGTCTGCCGCACATGCGGAACTGCCCGGACAGCGTCCGCTTGCAAGTATGGTCTGAACCCTTGCGCAGGGGCTACACTAATCTTCCCTGCATCGTTAAATTATTGCAAGGAAAATGAGTGATAGCGAAATGACAGAATTGAAGAAATCCAGATTGGAAATCACATCGAAGACCAGATAGTCGAACGCTGTCCAGAAAGCAGAATTGCACTGATATTACAACGAAGGAGAACCAAAGCATCAAACTCAATTGTCAATGAAAGGATATACTCGCCACCACCAACATTGCAATTGTAGCTCTTCCTCCTCCTGGTACTCAGCACCCAGACTACTATCCTACAGCTACTCTACTAGCAACGAAATGACAAGCAACTTGTTGACGTCAGCAGCAGCAACCGAAGTACATGCAGATGTCGACCATGCAGACCATCGCCGAGACCAGGTGTGTGCCCTTATGTCATCATCCTCATCTCTCTCTCACCACTCACCCTCCTCTTCTTCCTCTACCACGACGACCACCACCACCTCCGCTAGCTAAGTCCAAGCTCAGCCCAGCTATGGCGCTGCCGCAGTGCAGCACCCTCCTTCCACACTACCGCGCGCGTGCGCACAAGCACTTCCGCTAGCGCACAGCAGGCAGCCCACGAGCGCACGCTCCAGCAGCGCTGCCGCTCGCACAAGCAAGTTCCCGACTACCAAGTGCGTAGCCTGGCCCTTTCCTAAATGGAAAGTGGCAGGCCCCTGCCTACCGCCTGCCCCATGGGACCGAGTTTCCAGTAGCTTCACAATCGGCCAAAGTGTCTGCTCCCAGGCCTGTTCAGACAGTGGCCTGGGACCGAATTGGTTAGGCACGCCCAACCACCCAGGCACAAACATGCGGTGTTCCCTGCTTCCACCACGCTGCTGGAAGAGCCTGGAAGGCTCACAAATACTTCTGATTCTCATGAGCATGGCGGATGTAACCAACTGGCGCGTGGCAACTGTCTGGCGCCCACCAAGATTTGCAAAAATTGACAAATTCAGGGCCCATTGGGATTCAGGGGCCCGCTGTTACTTAGGGCGGGCACACACTTGCTGCGGGGGCCTTCTGCAGGTATGCCGACGGGTGAAATCCTCGCATTATTAACTGATGTCACCCGAACGACTGCACAACTACGACCCGAAGTGTGTTACCAACCAGGCCGCGCGGGAAACCTTGGTTGCCCCGGCGGCCCGGCCGGGCAAGGGCCGAGAAAGGTCCTTGCCAAAAAAAAAAAAAAAAAAAAAAAAAAAAAAAAAAAAAAAAAAAAAAAAAAAAAAAAAACTGAGAAAGAAATTCAAAGAACTATGTAGAAAAATAATCTGAACAACTTTGCCTCAGGTTAATATCGAAATTCTTTGGCACATTAGAAAATTATTATATTATTATTTTTTTATTATTATTATAACAGGGCTGGTCCCCGGATGGACCGGGGACCCCTACCCCATCCGCGGTCCTTCCGGTTGGACCGGCCGGTGGCCTGGGCCGGTTCCCTCCCGGTTGCCCCCAGCGCATTTTTGCTGGGGGCTGAATTTTTTTTTTGTCGGCGCGTGTGTTCCCAAGGCCTCGTGGGGGCGGCCAGGACCCCATTTCTATAAGAAAAACGGGCAGAGGATATCCGCCGCTGATCTATGCAGATCAGCAGCGGAGAACAGCCATGCGTTGTTCCTAAGATGTGGGCCGGGTAGGCCCCTAATCCAATTTGTCATCTTGTGGTCCAATCAGTTACCATTGGCATCATCTGATGCTCTTTCACCCTCGGCCACCAGGGGAACACTATGCTTCTGATGAGACTCTGCTGAGATTATATCCTTCTGCGACGTCCCTGCCATCTGTGGACAAAGTTATGGGTTCGGATTTTGGAATTGTGATTTCAGAGCCGTCCGAGGTGCAATCCCAAGAATGGACCTAAAATATAGGGCGTTGATGCACTACTCTCGACATGCACAAAAGACAAAAATCTTGCCGGTGTATCTTTCCGAATTCTAGCGGAAGATTCACTCTCGTTTTGCACATTTCGAGAGTAGTGCAGCGAGGCCCATATTCATCTCTCTATCTATCTCGAATGGACCTTGCTCCACTACATGTATCTGGACATACTGCCAGACAAGATACTTCCGAGGTGCAATCCCAAGAATGGACCTAAAGGGCCTGGCTGCACTACTCTCGAAATGTGCAAAACGAGAGGGAATCTTGCGCTGGAATATGGAAAGATACACCGCCATGATATTTGTCGTTTGTGCATGTCGAGAGTAGTGGAGCGAGGCCCAAAATATAGGGCGTTGCTGCACTACTCTCGACATGCACAAAAGACAAAAATCTTGGCGGTGTATCTTTCCGAATTCTAGCGGAAGATTCACTCTCGTTTTGCACATTTCGAGAGTAGTGCAGCAAGGCCCATATTCTTCTCTCTATCTATCTCGAATGGACCTTRCTCCACTACATGTATCTGGACAGACTGCCAGACAAGATACTTCYGGACTGACAACTCACCTTATGTAGGAACCAACAAACAGAAAACGCTCTGCCTCCACGAGCAGAAAGCTGGAACCATAACTTTTCTGCTGTCGAAATATACTCTGGAAGTCTGGAAGAGCTATAATTTCGGGCAAGGACCTCCTCTCATCATATCTGGTTCAGCTCGTGGGGTATCAATATCAAAATGACGTACTCCACGAAGTGCTCCAGCGACGGGGGGGTCGGATAAGTGAAGTTGATTACTTGACCCCTCCCTGAGGAAGTCGTAGTTGGCTGAATATGTCAATGATAACCCCCTGCCCCCCTCTGGAAGCCCCCTGAAAAATGTTGTACCTTAAAAATTATATTGCGGATTCGGACAGCTCTTGAAGAGCGCAGTCGGAATCTGCCCAAAAAAAAAAAAAAAGAAGATATTTGGGCACTTTTTTTTCAAAACCGGTTTCCCGGTTCACCCCCCCTGGTCTGGTCCGGCTCCGGTTGGACCGGGGTAGCTCAACCGGCCGGTTGCCGGCCCAGCACTGTATTATAATAATGTTTTTTTTTTTTTTGCCCGGCCGTGCAAGTGGTCATCAGCCACTCTGGTAACACATGATCCGAACAGAGGAAGAAGTTCGTT